TATATATATATATATATATATTTTTTTTTTAATTAATTTTTTTAATTTTTTTTTTGTTATCTTCTCATTTGCTTTCTATATAACCCATGTAACGAGCTTTAGGCGATGACTCCCAAACCAGTTGGCTTTAGGGCACCGGGTTTTAAACCCTTGCAGTCTTATTCACTCGAGTTATAAAGGCTCGATAAGATGACTTTTTATCAATTCTCCTTTTTCTTGCTTTCTATATGACCCTTGTAACGAGCTTTAGGTCGATGACTCCCAAACTAGTTGGCATTAGGACATCAGGTTTTAAACCCTTACAGACTTACTTGCTCAAGTCATAAAGGCTTTTTGAGAGAAGTGATAATTTTCCACTTTTTACTTTATGCCCCTTCTTTGTTTTTCTAGACATTTGACTTCCAAAACCATCCTCACTTGAAACTTTCACCTATTTCTCACCTTTTGGGTTTAAACAATCCATACATTATAATTTCATGCACGGAGCCTCCACTTATCTCCATGTTCCCCTACAATGGCTCAATCATCTCCAAACTATCTTAAAGTGGTATTACGACTTAATGTTATAGAAGGTTATTCTAGGTTTCTCCTAATTTATTCTAAAATTCCAATCAATAACTTAACACGTGAAGCATGAGTGGCATGCAAAAGAATGTCAAGCAATGCATCAACAAGTATTAGCAGATTAAATCCTGCACTAAATCCACAGTTTCTAGCTTATACATGTCTAATAATAACATCATAGCCGGCAAGGCTACCAAACCCACACAAGCATGCAAACGTTCATCAAGATTCACTCATCAAGCATGCATCATGTAAAAACTTGTCAAAATTAACGATGGATTGTGAATATGCAGAATAATTACATGTCAAATACTTGTTTGAAATTATGCTACCATCTTCCAAACTTATACAATACATTGTCCTCAATGTAAAATGTAAAGTTAAAATGACAGAATTTAAAACATGTACACAACTTGGCAATAAGAGATTAACAAAACTCCCCTGATCAATTCGGTGGCTGTGGTATGAA